GCACATATCTTGGGGGCCTGCCAGCATTTTCTCCAGGAGAAGCAAAGGAATAGAAAGTCTGAATCAGGGTGCCATACTTGAGAGCTGGGGTAGAACCCAGTTCACTGTCCATTGACCATTTCACCTTTGCTTCCCATCAGAACATTAGACCTCCATGCCAATTTGTGCCATTTGGTGAAAGGAATTGGTGGAAGAGATACAATCCAAATTTGTAGCCTGGAGAAGTTTCTGCTGAAATGTTTAGTATAAAAGATCTATAATTTTTGCCCAGAGAGAAAAAATTTTTCACACTGGTCTGTTTTACTATTTTTGTTTTTGGCCATGTGTGTCTTTGCTTTTTAGAATTGCCATTTTCTCTTTTTCAAAAAATATTTATTGTTATTCTATTACAGTTGTCCCAATTTTCCCCCTTTGCCCTCCTCCACCCAGCCCACCCCCGTTCCCACAATTATTCCCCACCCTGTTGTCCATGTCCATGAACCATTCATATACATGCTTTGACTAGTCCCTTCCCCTTCTTCCCACCTCACCCCCTTCCCCCTCCCCTCTGGTTGTCTGTCTGTTCTTTGTTTCTATGCCCCTGGTTCTATTTTTCTCATTAGTTTATTTTGTTCATTAGGTTCAGAGTCCTGAAACATCAGTTCAAAAGAACTTATGCACCCTTATGTTCATAGCAGTGCTGTTTACAAATAGAATTGCCATTTTCAAGTCTTATTAAAGATTGGTCATTTTATAATTATCACCAGAAGTACTGGAGTATATAATTTGCTTTAAATATATATTTTTTGATTTGGAAATAATATGCATTCATGCAAAATTGGGAAGAAATATATAAAGTAAAAGAAAAGAAAAACAACTGTACTATTAGCACTCAGATAATCGCTATAAATTTTAGTTTATTTCTTACCAATCTTTTTACATATAAGTATATATTGGGATTATACTGGCAACATACACAAGGTATCTTTTTAGGGTCTATCAAATATTTAGACCCACAGACAACCACATCCTACATTTGGCATTGGTACCCCGGGAAGGAGCCATATCTGGCCAATAGGGCGGCATCATGTGATCCTCTTCAGCACATGTCCTTGCTGTGGTCCAGCAGAGTATTACAGCCCAGGTGTAAGGAGACCACACACATATAAGAGGATGCAGGAGTCGCCTGGGTGAAAAGGGTCATGCCCTGTAGAAGTCAATATATGCAACTTCATAGGCATAACTTCCAAGGTCCCACAACGTACATACCAAGTTTCCAGAGTCACTGCACTCAGAAGTCAGAGCGTGGTACCTCCCTGGGTAATTACAGTTCTCTGAGTCCAGATGCAATTCTCCAATCAGGGGTTAATTTGGTCTAGTAATATAGATACATATCATCTTTTTTTTTTCTGGGGAAACAGAGCCAGAACATAAAGAGAAGTTTGGATTCTCTTGTAGAAGGAAAAAAGGTTTCCCTTGCAATATAATATATAATTTTTTGCCTTTTAATATTCTTAACAATATATCACTAGCATATTTCACTGCTACTAAAGGCATTGAAAAAACATGATGGCCCCATAATGTATGTATATATACATTAAATATTGTGTATTTAGCTAGTTCCAAGTTTTTAACTATTTCAACTATTGTTGAGGTAAAAATCCGGATAAACAAATCTTTGTATTTATGTAATACCATATGATCTCACTTATGAGAGGAATCTAATGAACAAAATTAACTAATCAATACAATAGAACCAGAAGCATAGAATCACAGAATAGACTGACATTGGTAAGAGCAAAAGAGGGAGTGAGGACTGTTTGAAAGAAGGTGAAGGGATTAGTCAAGGAACATACATGAAGGACCCATGGACAAGGAAAACAGGCTGGGGTTGACTACGGAAGTGGGGTTGGGCTGAATGGAGGGAGGCAAAGAAGGAAATAATTGGAACAACTGTAAAACATTAAAAAAAACCCTCTAATTATTTCCTTAACACAAGTTCAGAAAATGGAATTAGTGATTGGGTCTGAAGTTTAAAAAACTCTTAACGCATCTTGGAGAAGCTGCTCTTCCAGAACAAGATGCCAGTTTACACTTTGACTTGAGCAACATAAAAGTATCTGCACTTTCAACAACATGGGCTCTTAAAAAGTCCTGTTTTAAAAAGTCCTGTTCTTTGATAACCGAGGAGTTTAGAAATGTTTATATGTACATAATTTATTGTTTTCCTAATTGTCAATTCTTGTCCTTTTCCATTTTTACGTTGGGAAGTTCATCTTTTTAAGTATCAAGGCTATTTACATTTGAGTCTCACGTTCTGCAAACTTTATTGCAGGTTTTATTTACTTTTTTTGGAGGGGGGATAGAAACGCTTACTTTTAGGTAGACAAATCTATCCATCCTTTTCTATACACCTGAATTGACAATGCTAAGTAAGGTTGTTACTAGTGAGAGTGCTTCGTGGGTGTGCATGTAGCCTAAGTGTTGGAAATCCATACTTCTCTTATTTTTTTTTCAGTTTTCCCAGCATCTTTATATTGGAATTACATTGGTCTCATGGCTGGGACCAGGTGTGGTCGCTATTCACAAGAAATCAGAGACAGCTGTCATCTGTGCTCTGTGGGAGATGAGGGTGCCCGCAAACCCAGATGACACTCCCCAGACCTCCAAGTAGCACTCGACCTTTGGTATTTCAGAGCGTTCTATATTTAGTCTCTGAAACATTTTACATAGTTATGGATTGTCTATTCCTTGAAAGTTCGAAGGAATGTACACTATAGTTCTGTATCCCTGGTAGTATTTTGTGAGATAACTTTTAGACATGTTTAAAAATTTATTCTATTGTTATTCATTTATTCAGCTTTTTTACATCTTTTTAAGGCCTCGTTAGTAAACTATCTTTTCATAGAATATTATCAATTTTATTAAGATGCAAGCATTTATTGACACAGAATTTTATATACAATTTAAATAAAGACACAGGGTAGACTTCTAGAGGATTGTGTATTTTTGCTTATACATATTCTTTTCTTAACTTTTGTTACTTTTGCCTTTATATTAGACTAGCCAGGGGATTGTGAATTTTACTTTTAAAAAATTAATTTCTGACTTTATTTACCAATTCTGTTATTTTTTGATTCACTATTTTTATGCATCATTTTTATTAATCTATTTCTTTCCTTTCATTTGTTTTTTTAATGAAAAGAATCACTCTAATTACAATAAATAACTATAGGGAAACCTAGGTTACACTATTTCCTGGCCTGGGAAAAAGAGAGGAAAATGTTTTCCCAGGTCAATGGATCACTCAGGGATTCCTGAGTGATATGCTCTGAGACAGGAAGAAACAAGCTCTGATTCCAGACTAAGCCCATTGCTCCCAGGCAGAGCCACTGGTAAACCATTTCAGAGCCCAATGTGGCCTCCTGGTTTTATCTGGGGAGTGGAGTGTGTCGCCGGTTGAGATACAGGGAAAGGTGTTATTTATGCTTCCTCTTATTCCCAGGCTGGTGAGAAAGGATCAATTTGGCCACAGTAAGAGGGACACAGGGACCAGCCTTCCTCTGGGAGAGGGCACAGGCCCCGTCGCTCTGAAGAGCGGCTGTCACCAGGGCTCTCAGTGAAACCTCATCCTCTTCAGGTGGAGGACCCAGCCTCAGAAAACAATTCCCAGCCAGCTTCTTTTCTTCACTCAGTACGTGCCTGACACTGGGCTAAGTCACGTGGGTGAGTCATTTTATTTAAGGCTCGAGGCAACTCAATGAAATAGTTACATTATCCCCATTTTTATGGAAGTGGGGGGGCAACAGAGGGACTTGCCTAAAGTTGTACAGCCAGGACATGAATCCAGGTATGTCAGACTGCAAAGCCTGTGTTATTAACCACTCATACACCACGTTTTATCATCGCCAACCTTAATCCCCACGACACAGGTTTATCATCTAGGGGGAGCTGGTCGAGCCCAGGAGCAACTTTCAAAATGAACTCAAAGCATTATGATTCATTATGATTCCACATTACCTTTCAAAATTCTATTCTATTTCTCATCTTAAAGTAAGCAAAAAAAATTTACATAGAAAATAATACTTGTGCTGAATGTCTGAGCATTCAGTATAATCCTCAGCATGCCAGTAAGTATTTTTATTACTGCCCCAAAAAGGAGGGAGAGGGCAGGTTGGGGGGGCGCGGGAGGGAGGGAGGGAGAGAGAGTTGGGGAGGCGTCTATTAGCAGAGAAGAGAAGTGATCACTGAGATTACATCCCAGATAATCTGACCTTGCAGCGTATTTAGACACAGAAATGTGTATTTTAAAGCCCTCACAAAGTCATTTTAAAAATTAAAGTGTCTAAGTGTTGAATCACTTTACCAGCTAATCCAGATATGGGAGATTTATGCTTTGAAACAGTCTCCCTAAAGGACTGTCTGGCCTTTTTGTTTTGTGCTCTCCTGAGAGAAAAAAAAAAATGAAATAAATGAAGGTAAAGTTACAACTTAATTGAATGTGATGTAATGTGAACAGAGTCAGAGCCATCAGGAATGAATTATAGGGAACTTCAGGTCAAGCGATTTCTCTCATCTCTGGCATCTCTGGAAGCGCAATCAAAACAGCAGGAGGTAGGGGCCCGGGTAGTCTCCTCCACTCTGATCCGAGGGTTTACATCAACACTGGTACGTACATTCCAGACCTCTTCTTAATACACAGGACCCACTGTATGTTTTCCCAGAGCACAGTAGCTCTCCTTAACACATTAGCCAGCATTTATGGCATTCATACATGCTTTGAATTTAAATATATATACATGTATATATTTAAATTCAGATACCAAAAAGCAAGTCACTTCTAAAAGACAAGACCCACTTTAATGAGCTTTTATTCAGAGCTCCAGTCACTCTGTTTTGGCTGAAACAGGACACCCCTGATCAGGCCGATGCTGAACGCCCAGAAAGAAGGGCAAGAGGAGCAAAGGCAGAATGTTGTTTAGTATCTGGCAAGAAAGAAGCAAGTCTATTTCTGTACTTACAATAGCAGTTGGGGTGGCAGCCAGCACACAATAGAGCACCAGAGGGGTGATGAAGCTTTCTTCCTCTGTCCCGGGGTAAGGCTTCATTAAGTCTCCGTCCTGACAGAAGAATCCTTGGATATGCACCTGAAAAGTGTCAGTGCATTCGAAGTAGTAGGCAAGCAGCACTGTCCCAGCCATGATGACAAGCTGAAAATACAGCATGGCCACACAGAGACATTAGCAGGGCTTCGCCCCTCAGAGCACAGTCCCTCCATCACCCCGGGTGGCGGCGGCTGTCCTGGTATTGGTGTTGGCGAGTGTGTGCGTGCCTGGCTCAGCGTGCTCTGGGCTCGGGGAGTGAGTGCTTGCTTGTCTGCCTTGTCACATCTGTTATCTAAACCTTCCAGCAACTAGTGCACAGCTCCCCGCTGAGAGGCACATCACAGCAGGGCTTGCAGAGAGTCCCAGCCTGTGCTGCCACCCTCTCGGGGGATGTGTGGGAACCAAAGCAGCATTTCCATCCGGGCCAGAGGTGAAAAGTCAAAGATCAGTGGCATCAGAACTGACAAGAGGTATATGTAAGAGCTGTTCATGAGAAATTTCATAAACTATGAGAGATAGACTTACCTTATTATCAATATAAACTATTAGAGGCAGGGAGATCACAAATGAATGAACAAGTAAATAAATGAATGAATGAAAAGGAAGGCTAAAACCTGGCGTTTAGCTTTATGTCAAAGGAAATTTTCAGAACACACCCTAAATTACTGGCAGGAATGAAAACAATACAGGTATCCTACATCACTTATACTGTTTATCCTTTTCCAAAAGCTTTTGCCTTTATTCTAAAATGCTTTCCGCCAGTCAATCAAGGACTCCGATGATGATCACATCTAACTATAAGGTTAGACATAAAAAGGGACTCAATTACCCTTCAGTTTTGACTCAGAAATGTCCTAGATATTGACCAAGGTTTAGATGTTGCCTGTCAGAGGTAGGAGTTGAGGGTATATGGAAATGCCAACATTGTTTTTCTCATTTGTATTTGGAAGAAACCAAAAGGCCGAGATAAGATGATGATAAAGGTAGATAGAGAAGGTCTGTGAGGTTATGAAATTACAGAAAATTAGGCTGGAAGAGATCTCAGAGATCTTCCAGTCTAACAGCCTGGTTTCACAGATGAGAAAACCGAGGCCAGCAGGACAGCTGACCACTGACAGATCAGCACGGGAGCTGAACATGGGCTTAGGTTGAGCATCAGCGAAGCAGGGAAACTCACATGGAGACAGAATATGTTTAAGTGTTGATTCGCTTTTAAGTTTCAATTTCATCACTACTGGGAAAAAAGTCTGAACTTGGGGAGATGTCTCGGTAAATTGTTTATGGCTTAAAATTGTTTTTACCAGGGGGGACCCCAAAAAAACAGGGATTCTCTTCTGGAGGGCAGGCCCTAATATTACTGGCTTCCCCTGCTTGGTGAGTGTTCTAGGAATCCATCTGTATCAGTGTATCAGCTGGTGTTGTTGTCAGAAGCTACGTTCAGTTTAGGGAATTTTTTTGAAGCCTCTTTAAACACATTTACCCCTTTCATGAGGGGTAACTTACAAGCACACCTGCCCACACTGCACTGAGTGTCCGGCAGTTTTTGACCCAAACCAGCATGACCCCAGCCTCACCCTCCCTATTCACACAATCTCTTGCCTGAACGACTTTTTTTTTCTGTTTCCCTGGAAGAAAAAAAAATCCTCAAAGGGAAACGTTCTGCTGATGTGGAAGAGGTGAAACAAAAAATGGCAGATGCACTGAAAGGCATTGAAATCGACAAGTTCAAAAACAGTTCTGAGTAGTGGAAAAACATCCTGATAAGTGTATTGCATCACATGGAGGATGACTCAAGTTTAAACACACAAGGATAAATACACAATATGTTATAAATAAATTCCATTATGGAGGGTCTGCTCTCGTGTTTGGAAGTACATAAGGGGCAGTAGGGGAAAACCATAATATTTTCAGTGTTTAGAAAGTCTAAAGTTCTTATTCTAGCCCTGGAATGACTAACCCAAGGTCATAGTTAGCTAGTGTTAAAACCAGACTGGAAACACACATTTTCTGATCCCCAGAGGAAAAACGCCTACCTGGTGGCATTAGAATTGCACCCTGCTCAAAAGGGTAGAGAGTTGCGGGAAGGCAAAGCAGGTTAACCCTAATGCAGGGAGGTGCTAGCTGGCATTTTTGTCCATTTTCCTTTTCACTTATTTAGCCACAATGTTGAAGTAGAGACTTAAACTCTGCCCTCTGCTACCCCACTCTCTGGAACCTGGCACAGCCTCTATTTTTGATATTATCTCTGCAATTCTTTGTTACCATAGCTGAAAGCATCATTTTCTTTAAGGGTCATTTGGATTAAGAATCCTCCCCCATTCATCCACTTTCCCTATTTCACTGCCTTCCCTGCCTGGCTCAGAAGGCTTGTGTATCTGCAGTTGTAGTGTGTCTCAAGTCCCAACTCCTGGCCACCCTGCTGTAAAGGTCTTCTGGCCACCTTATCACCAGCTTTCTTTGTCCCCCAATGGTAGGACACACACCATTCTTTTCTCCCACTGTCCCTCATACACAACTTGTTTCTGGCTCTACAAGGATTATATTTTTCTATTATCTGGCATGCCTTCCCTCCCAAGTGACCTTCTGTCACATTCATAACCATCCTGTCCTGTCTGGCTGTTCCCATGTGTATCTCTGGGCCTGAGGTTTCCTGGCACCATGTGTACATCACCAAGGCTCAGCCATCCCTGCTGTTTTAAGCATTTGGTTTACTGCTTTCCTTTTTAGCAGCAGAGACTTGGATAAACGTACTTCCAACAAGAATGAGAGACAGTTGCTCCAAAGCTGCCCCTGCTAATGGGTACCCTTGCCAGACACTAGTTTGTAAAGTCAAGGGCATGAAGTTTCTAATTTCTTTTGTGCTTGACTGGTCAACTGAGTTGACCTGATGGGAAGAAATCTAGCCAGCTGACCTGAATGTTTTTGAGCTGAGATAACACTAGGATTCCAAGAGTTTGGGGGCTCTGCCTCTGGGGATGTCTGTCTCCTGCTCAGGGCTGATCTAGAATTTCTGCGTCTCTCATCCATGGAGCTGGAAACACCTTTGTCATTCTCTTGGCATCATCAGCCCTGGGAGACATACGCTTGGAGAAAAGCAGAATCTATGAGGGCTTTATAGAAAAAACAAAAATAGCATCTAGCTTCCTCTATTGAGGAAGAGTTATTACTGTATATTTCTGTGCCTCTGTGTTACCATTTTTATTTAAAAGGGAAGGTGAAAATGAAGTAAATAAAAGCAAAAACATACACATACACGTACATATATGTATACAAGTTCTGTCCAGAGCCCAGCCATTGTTAGTATAACGAGGACAGTTTGTGTGACATCAATGTAACCTGACAGCCAAGGAGAGTGGACTGGAATCCACATGTGTAAACAATGACGACTTTATTGTACTCATCAGTGGGGGTGGTAGCCTCTGTTGAGTGAGCATGTATACTGTGTGACCATTGCATTCAAAATGACTGAACAAGTACAGCAATGAATCTGCATCACATTTTGCAGATTAGGCTTGAACATTGCTTAGTAGAAACTACTCAGATGATTCAGAAGGCCGTAGCTATGGCCAACTGGTGATTGGTGGCTTCATTACAACAACGCACTCAATCATGTATCACGTCTCATGCAGGGTTTTCTGCATCATATCACCCAGGTGACTCAGCCCTGCTATAGCCTCTATTTGGTACCCTGTGAATTCTGGCTTTCCCTAAAACTAAAATCACCTTCAAAAGAGAAGAGATTTCAGTCCATTGATGAAATTCAGGAAAGTACAATAGGGCAGCTGATAGAGATTGGGAGAACTGTGTGAAGTTCCAAAGTACCTACTTTGAAGCAAACTGAGGTGTCATTGTCCTATGTACAGTGTTTCTTGTATCTTGTATCTTCTCCAATAAATGTCTGTATTTTTCATATTATACTTTCTGGGCATACCTCGTATATATGGTATATATATATATATATATATATAGACTTAATAGAAAATAGAATAGAAACTTTTAGAACATAGAACTATCTTAAAACATCAAATACACGAAAATCACCCTGGCTGGTGTAGCTCAGTGGATTGAGCATGGGACTATGAAGCAAAGGGTCACTGGTTTGATTCCCATTCAGGACACATGCCTGGGTTGCAGGTCAGGTCCCCAGTAGTGGGCAAGCCAGAGGCAACCACACACTGATGTTTCTTTCCCTCTCTTTCTTCCTTCCCTCCCCTCTCTCTCTAAAAATCAATAAGTAAAATATTTTAAAAAAATAAAATATATGAAAATCAACAACGAGGACAACAGAGGAGTCAAGATCATATCCCTAAATTTCAAATTTCGAATAGCTGCTTGAGCAATTTAATCCCGAAAGTAGCATCCAGAGAGAACTGCATGAATGAGTGAATGAATCAATTAATTGCAGGGCATGAAGTAGAGAACAAGGAAGCTTGGAGACTCAGGGCGGCAGAGGTAGGTGGGAACTCGGGCAGCCTATGGGACAGATGACCTGTTGGCACGAGTCACTCTGCCTTTGCTCCTCATGAGCAGCCAGAAACCCTGCCCTGTCATTTCCAAGCACTCCTCAAACTCCCTGGAGAGTCCCCGGTAATTTCAGAGATTCAGAGATGCAAAAACAAAACAACTCAGATCTCAATTTCTTCTCTGTGGAACACTCTCATGAACACATATTAAAAAGAAGCTTATGGACCTGGATTATCCTGCTAAGTGAAATAAGCCAGTCAGAGAAAGATAAAATACCATATGACATCACTTATATGTGGAATCTAATGAACAAAATAAACTGATGAACAAAACAGAACCAGAGGCCTGGATGCACGGAACAGACTGACAACCATCAGCGGGGAGGCTGTTGGAGAAACTGGATAAAAGAAGGTGAAGGGATCAGCCAAAGAACACACATGCCAACCTCATAGGCAACGTGGCCTGAGGGAAGGTGGTGTGGGGACTGGGTGGAGGCGGGCAAAGGGGGAGAAAATGAGGACAACCGTGATAGTGTCAACAGTAATATAAAAAGTAAAACTCATGTATTTACTGCAGGAAGAGAAACTCGTGGATTCCGCTTCAGGAGCAGAGATGTCTGCCTCCCGGCATTGAGGCCACCG